GGGATGAAACACAATATTTCTGTAAAAATATAATTCTGAGTCAGACATTATGACCTAAGGCCATGTTAAGACATTCGAAAATGTCAATAATAAATGTCTTGATATCAAACCAGGTTTTTCAGGTGGGTGAAAATGTGATTAATGCATGCTTTCTGTAAATATCAATGCATGTCGACATCAATCAACCAATCAATCAGATTGTATTTGTATAGCACATACAAGTAATGTCACACAAACTTCTTTACAGGATAAAAGTAATACAACTAGTTCAACCCAAAACCATGCACAGAGCAAAACACTATTAACAGGAACTGAGCAAACACAATCAGGAATCTCATAAATTTGAAATGTGAAAACACCAAATGCAGATAAACAAAGACAAAACAATAAAAAAGAAAGAAATGAGAAAAACATGAAGCTGAAATAAGAAAAGTATAATAATAAGACGCTAAATGAGATGTGAAGAGATTAAATCTAATATATAGGTTATCTGGGATGAAATCAAACCGGAGATGAAATGGATTCAGGGAGGAGTTCTTGTAACATGATTTATTTTCAGTATGTGTGAGTTCAAGCTGAGTGCTGAAATCCTTGCAGTCGACTAAATAACGAGCAGAGACAGGTGCTGCTCCAACAGCTTTTCATAACAGTCAAATGGACATAATGGAATCTGGCACCGGGGCATGATTCACACTCCAATGCCTCGTTTCATTCAATCACATGCAAAACACTTCTTCTAAAATTAGTATAATAAGCGTTTTCCCTCCGCATTCACAAACTCAGGTAGGTGCTGTATGCCGAGAGCACGCAGGCTCAGGTCGGTGAGCGAGATCTCGAAATATGTCGCCCATGACGCAAAAATGTACACGTCTCTTTCGGTAAACAGCCGCTTGTCATTGTCACAGAAAGACTGTCAGACTGACAGTGTTAACAGCGATCTGCTATTTTCAGTCCCAGTCTGTACCTGCTAATCGTCACAACAATGAAACAGCTCTTCACTCGCCTGAGTTCCTTGGCACAGCTGAGAATGTCACATGCCAGGCACTTTTCTTTACTTTTAGCGATGATTCATTTTTCTTCCCTCGCTCCTGCACTTTTGCTCATTTTAGATGCAAGATACACAACAGGGATGCTCGACACTTTAATCCGACCGCCATGCTGTGCATACTCATGAGTTATTAGAGTTCCTGCAGGACGCCTTAGCTGCGTTCTGCCAATATGATGTAAAGAAACACTTGATTATTTGGTGCAGTGCAGGACTCGTCTGTCTCCGTCTGATCCCCAACACCGGGGGGGGGGGGGGTACAGCGAACCCGTTACTGTGGTGTTAATTCCACAGAACAAACCATTACAGGGTCGCTCATGACCTTATTAGAAATGTCTTGAATACGGTGCTGCTGTACCTTTTAGCTGCTCCATCTGTCCCTCGGTTCCACTCCACAAGACGTCTCAGAAACGCCGCGAGGGATTTCCTTCAAATTTGGTCCAAAGGTTCACTACTGATGAGACTGTGATGTTCAAAATAAACACACTCGGAGTTTGGATGGAAAGAAAAGAAAAACAAGAGAAAGATGCAGTAAAAGACGTACAATTTAGTAGAGAAGATAAAATGATATCAGGCATAGAAACGTGAGACAAAATCAACCAGTGTCGTTTCAGTCTACATCTCTCTTCGTTGCGTCTTTTCTTTCTGAAACTGTGAAAGTGACCTGCTGCTGGAAGCTGCTGGTCGCCTGTTTATTTAAAAATTATTAATATTGAACATATCGCTTGTCCAAATCAAATTTAACATCACTTCCTTGAGCCCTTAACAAAGCCGATATGCAGCAGATATGCAAACCACAGACAGACAGAGCTTTTTAGAATTATTAGATAAAATCCTTCAAAATCCTCATAACATATATTATTTGAGTCTGGTCAGACCTGAATAACTGTGAGGCTGTGATTCTAGTTCTGTCTTTCTCCTCTAAATGACCTCAATCACAAGAATGTTATACTTTCTTTTCAAAGTCCCCTCCATGAATACACTCTGTTCCATTATTTCTATTATTTCATATCATTATTTCATGTTTTCCTGAGCTGAGGCTCACTCAGCGGAATCTCTCAAGGACCATGGTTCTAAAGCACAGTACCTCGGTGACTCTGGCCTCGGACCTGTCTTTGTTAATATATTTCAAACTGAACCTGGACACGCAAGGATAAGGCCGAAGAATAAAAAGACCACAAACAACGTTTATTAAACAAAGCTACATATATAACTACATATAATAAAGCATCACGATCATAAGAAAGACAATATAATTCATTATTTTAAGTGTTTGAATCTATATTTAATTTGTAATCTTAAAAACGGACTTTCATTACATATAGTTTTTGAATATAATAAACAAGTAGTTTCTTAGTTTTGCTCTCACACTTGAACGTCATTTGCAATTTAAATGTATGACTTGCGTTCATCTTGTCATTATCACCTCTGTGGGCTGCACCTATTTATAATTGACATTCACACCTTTAAGTAGTCTGGCACCTACCTTTAGATATTTATACACATTCAACCGTTTCAGTGGAGCCTTCGCATTGTCACAATTAACAAACTGACACAGTTTTGTTAATCGGTGTTTTCAGGAGTATTCTTTAGCTTCCTTCTATTTCAATATCTTTCAAAATGTGTTTTTTTTCCCACCTGAATTCTGTCGCCAAGAGCTATTCAAGATTAAACTCAGTCCAGATTTTACTTTTACCAAAATAACTTAGCAGAGCTACAGCGTTGTTCTTTCTGTTGGGAGGAGGTTGCCTTGAAGTCAGATATTTAATATCAAGGGTTGTGTGTGTGTGTGTGTGTGTGAGTGTGTGTGTGTGTGTGTGTGTGTGTGTGTGTGTGTGTGTGTGTGTCCCAGCCTACAGGTCTGCTGTCTGTGATAATGAAATGCTGCATGTGGCAAAGAGGCATTTAGATGGAAAACTGGCTAGTGTTTTCATTAGGATCATGTTTCACTGAGCGCACCTTCGCCTCATTTTGTTGAGAGACACACAAAACACGACGGCAGGTCCTCATCAAAAAGGCACAGTGTGTGTTATTACCTGGAAACACCCTGCCGTCTGTTTGGTGAATCACTGTGTGCCGTTGGGATTTTAACGATTCCATTTACACAAACACCGTTTACCCATTTCAAAAAATGACAGTGCAGTCAGTGAGAATGGTTTCCTGCACTGAGAAACACAACAACAACAAGAAGAAGCAGTGGAAAATCTCCCATAAAATTATGGTCAACCAAGAAGAGCTTCATGCTGCAGCTGACCTATTTATTTTTCTATTTAAGTTTCTTATGTAATATTTTTCTTTCTTCAACACACGCATCAGTAAAATCTCTGGAGCTGTGGGAGCAGCAGACGCCGGCCGTGATGCAACTTCTGCACATTCAGAAAGCTTTGCTAATACAAACGCTGCTGTGTGCCCTTCAGCGCTGGGAAACATAAAGACCAATACAAACAATTTGTTTATCTGAAGGTGAGAGGCAGCAGCCCGGCGATGCCAAGATGCTAAGAAGCATGTTTGTGTTGGCGAGCGACGTCTGCTCATGAGTCTGACATGTTCATCGTCCCAGCTTGTGAAGTGGGCAGCGAGCCACAGCATCGCAGAGCGCTGAGGCCGGCGCTAAAAGACTCGGTGGGGTGTCGGGATCAGCGGCTCTGTTGTGAGCGTGAAAAAGGAGGCAGGCTGTTTTTTTTAGAAAGTCTAGTTATAATTTCTACTTCTCTCATGTTTTATGATAATCTGTACAGAAAGATGGACGACATGACGGTGGTCTCCTCCGAGTGGCTGGCCGCGGCGTAGGTCCTAAAACTCGCCTCCTCCATGTTAGTGGATGGATCACACTACACATGCATATTTCTCAGAGATTGTTTCTGTCATTCTAGATGTATCACACTGATGTATGTTCAAGTTCAGTTTTATTTGTATAGCAGGAATCATAATGTGCATTATCTTAAGGCACTTTACATAGAAGGTCAAGACCTTAAATATGATAGAGAGCTGTTCCCACAATGAGAAGCACTTTGGCGAATGTGGAGAGAAAAAAGTGAAACATCATGATTGACGACTGAAACTGACTCCTGATCTCGGTCTATCGACGGGACCTCGGTACCGCCGCTCCGTTCTCGGGTCACTGCTTGATGTTGCTGTATTGTGTTTTTTATTTATTTGCACCGATTGACCTCAGACGCAAATGAGCTATATAGCTATAAACTGATAAGATCAGAAATCTGCCAACTTTCATCTCAACACTATATTATGACTCAAATAAATTTGATCCCAGCAGATTTTAAAAAACTAGTCAATGTCTATAACACCATCAAACTGTTTCTTTAGCGGTCTGTGCAGCAGCTTATTGAAAAACGTCCTCACTAAAACCTGCATATTAGATCCCATTACTCCACGTCCCATCTCAGCATCTCTTTATCAACTTCTTCTTTGAATTAAAATACCACTGTCGGTCCACAGAGCAGCGAATGGTTTGCACATTAGTTTAAACCTCAGATTGTCAGGGACAGATCTTCCCAGAGTCAAAACCTAACAGCAGCGTTTAGCATTTTTATTTTTTAATGCTCCACATATCTGAAAACCCTGAGGCTCGCTCCCGCTCCAGTTGTTTAAATCAACGCTTAAGATGCTTCCGTTCGCCACAAACCTTTTATTAAATTTAATTTGAGACTATTTATTCTTATCTTGCACTGCACTGTAACTTCACTGTAATTTGTATTTTTCCATTTAATCTCACATGCTTATCCTCTATTTTCATTTTAAATCCTATTTGTGTCTTTTTAATGTTTAAACCTCAATGGTTTTTATGTGTTATGTAAAACACTCTGAATCGCCTTGTTGTTGAAGGGTTTCACACAAATACCTCTCCTCCTCTCTATTCTTTACTCTCTCTCTCCACAAGTATTTTCACTAGAGGCTACTCAGACCTCATAATATTTAAATTCTCTTTCCTCTGCAGATACCCCAGGTGAGCTACGCCTCCACAGCTCCGGAGCTCAGCGACAACACCCGCTACGACTTCTTCTCCCGAGTGGTGCCTCCAGACACCTACCAGGCCCAGGCCATGGTGGACATCGTCAAGGCCATGCGCTGGAACTACGTCTCCACCGTGGCCTCTGAGGGAAACTACGGAGAGAGCGGCGTCGATGCTTTTATTCAGAAGTCTCGGGAGGACGGTGAGTACCCTCAGCCTCGTATATCATTTCTACCGCAGCGTGGGAAGATGTGATCCATGCGAACGTACTGTACAATGGAAAATCGGTTAAGCTCGGAGACATGCAAGCCAAAATCAATTAGCGAGGTCAAATGTTAGTTGTGATCCCAGAACATAGAAACAGCGATGAATGAATGAAAAATGTTAATATTCAACATAGCGGAACAAATTTGTTATTCCCCTCATTTACATGCATTTATATATGCGCATTATAAGACATTAGGTACAGCACGTAAACGTGAGCAAAATGTTTATATATAATAATTTATTTACACATTGATGCTATTCTATGATGCTATAATTATGCTAAGTTTTGGTTGTTGTTGAGTCAGTTTCATAGCAATTACAAAAACTGAATATGATGAGGTCAGTTTATCATCAAGCACGAGAACATAATGTTAATCCTCAGCAGAGTGAGCGGGACCTGCTCTTCCTCTGTCATCTTCATCACCTTGTCTCTTTCTTTTTCTCGCATCTTGTCCCTTCTCTTGCCAAAGCCGAGCTTTGATCGATGCAGCTTTTTAATTCTCTGTCTTCAGAGAAGTAAACACAGAGTCAAATGATCGTTATTTGCAGGATAATCTTGCAGTGAAGGTAATGATGCAAAGTGGGATCCCGATTTTAACATGCAAGTTGAACCCTTTACACAAGTGCATACAAAAATAAACATTTCAACTTTTGTCAGTCTGCCATTGGTTGGATAGAATAACAGCCTCTGTGAAGTGTAGTTTGTGATGTCGAGCCCAACCGAAATTATTTTTAGGGCCAATGCCGATATTAGGGAATAAAACAAATATTACATAATGATACATATTTATTATAAATAGCTATGAATAAAATGAAACACAAATACAACCACATATATAGAACTTGAATTAAGAAAATACACATATTTTCTGCATTGTTTGCATATCAGCTAACACAAACACGTACCGGGGGTGGATAGTAAAGCCTTACATTTTCTCCGTTACATGTACCTGAGCAGTTTTGTCAGTAAATTGTACTTCTTGTTTTGCAGAATACTTTTTACTCCAACTCAGTTACATTTATGATGAAAACAAAAAAAAGACTTAACTCTGTTACATCGGACCACTCTCTCTCTCTCTCTCTCTCTCTCTCTCTCTCTTCCTCTCTCTCTCTCTCTATGATTTATTCATTTGTACACTCAGCTGAGCGGACACAGCGATCTCCAGACAGTGACAGTCAACTAATAAATGGGTCCGACGCCAGATGAGAGGTTTAGAGCTGCAAACTGTCCGTTTACCTGCAGCTCACTCTGCTATAGACTCTGCTGCTTGTCCAGTTTGTTGACATATTCACAGATCCACCATGTTGAGTGTCCAAGCGACGACCCCC